AGGGCTGCTGTGTCCCCTCAGAGTTGCTGCTATTACATATGTGATTTCCGATTACCACTTAAAAATGCATAGCCTACTAGTGATATCATCTATGGATATGATCAATTGAGAAGATTAATTTTCCTCTCTCAGCAGTGACTAGTTTCTGTAGGTCTTCATATAGGGGTGGAGCCTTGCAAATATTTCCTTTATTCATGTTGGCACATCAAAGGTCATTAATAATAATGTATATCAAAACACAAAAAAGTTAAAAGTAAAAATTCCCCAACATATAATTCAATAATATTATGTTTAAAATATAAAATGGAATTTTTTCTGAAGCAAAAAGCAAAGTTGTTCAAGATAATCCCTTAAGCCTTTAAAGATGACCCACTTCTAATGGTCATCTATGAGTTTTTAATCACTATAGCCACAGAAGTCCCTAATCAATGTTATCCAATCTTGTGGTTCACTTATGAGTGGGTGTTGTTAAATTTTGGGTATACATCTCTCATTTGGTCTGGTTGTTACATGAAATTTCACACCACTAATTAAAATAATTGTCTGATCTCAAGCTATATCATAAAACTGTACTTCTAAGTGACAAGAATGGACAATATTCTAGTAGAGAATCTGGGTAGATAATACCTTAGTCAAAAGATGGAATCTACTTCTTGAGTTATGAACAAGGGGGAAACTTGTACCTCCCAACATAATGCACTGAAATGTAATGATTTGTATTGGTTTGTGATTTCTGGTACAAGGGTACAAGACCTGAGCATAATTTTAAGCAAATATTAGAAAAATCAAAGTTGGCAAGCAATTATTGCAGGCATATACATTTGGACAGACATGCATGCGTACCCCTTGGAACAAATTTTTCAAAATTATTCAACCTCAGATTTGGAGATACAGTTCAGCATTCAAGAACAAACACTGAACAATCCTGAGTGCCTATGGTTTGATGTCAGCACCTCCATCAGAGTGCTCTCAAAATCTAGCTCCAAGGGCTGCATGCCCTGTCCTGGCATCTGTGAATACACTCACAAAGAAACATAAACACAAAAATGGGCATACTCATATAAATAAAATAAGATATTATAAGGACTTTGGAGATGTCTCAGCAGTTAAGAGCCAATATTATTTTTGTGTAGGAAGATGGGTAAGTTTCTAGTACCTATGACTTTGTATTCATGCAGCCTTTGTGTCCATCTCTGTTACCTCTACAGGCACTGAAATCATTTAAACACACACACACACACACACACACACACACACACACACAGACACAGACAGAAAGAAAACGAAAGACAACAACAAAAACACAAACACAGTACAGAGAGAGAGAGAGAGAGAGAGAGAGAGAGAGAGAGAGAGAATTAAAACAGTAACAATCTTTAAAGTGTATGAATTTTTTGAAAAACAAGGACACACAGAATAGTATTTACAAATACTATTTTTAGAGTCTGTGAACTCTGAACTTGGCATCTACAGGCAGATTGAATGGGCCCTGAGGACCAAGTGACCCTAAATCTCATGAGATTGTTGGCCTGCTCCTGCTGCCAAGTGGAGCAGAGACAGATCTACTCCACACCTGAAGACCAAGCAACCAAGAGTCTGCTGACATCACTGTGCTTGTCTCACTCTCACCCACCTGGAGAGCAAGTGCCTAAAACCTGCCTTCACCCACCTTGAGACCCAAAGAGTACTGGAGCCAATTGCACCCACAAGAATATAATCTTGGACCCATACACACCAGGAAAGGTAGTTACACCACCTGCACCCACTGGAAGAAGAGATGGGAAGATGACAATATACAAACACACCCAACAAAAGGAAAACCAATATGATACCACCAGAGTCTAGGGACTCTTTACCAGCAAGACCTGAACATCCGAACACAGATGAAGCAGAAGAGAGCAATTTCATGCAGATGATAGAGACTCTAAGAGAGGAAAAGAGAAAATCCTTCAGAGAAATGTAAGAAAAGAAAAACCAAAAGATGCAAGAAATCAAGGAAATCCAAGGAAATACAATAAACAGCTGAAGTTTCCTTCAGTTCAGGATGTGAAAATTGAAATAGAGACAATTAAAAAAAAAACCACAAACTGAGGGAACGCTGGAAGTGGAAAAGCTGAGTAAACAATCAGGAACCACAGATGCAAGCATAACCAACAGAATACAAGAAATGGAAGACAGAATCTCAGATGCTAAAGATAAACTAGAGGAAATAATTTCATCAGCAAAGAAAATCTTAAGTTCAACAAATCCTTAACAAAAATATCCAGGAAAATCCATGAAAAGACTAAAACCAAGGGTAATAATTATAGAAGATGGTGAAGAAACACAACTCAAAAGTGCATAAAACATAAGCAAAATCATAGAAGAAAACTTTACCAACCTAAAGAAAGACATGCCAAAGAAAGTAGAAGAAGCCTACAGAACACTAAATAGAGTGGACTGCAAAAGAAAGTCTTATCTTCACTTAATAATTAATATAGCAAACATACAGAATAAAGAAAGAATATTAAGAGCAGCAAAGAAAAGAGGCAAACCTATCAGAATTACAACAGACTTCTCTATGGAAACCCTGAAAGTCAGAAGGACTTGGATAGATATTCTACCAACTCTAAGATGCCAGGCTAGACTACTATGCACAGCAAAGCTTTCAAGTACTATAAGTTGAGAAAACAAGATATTTCACAGTAAAAAACCAGATTTAAACAATATGTAACCACTAAATCCAGTCCAACAGAAAGTACTGGGAGGAAAACTCCAAACTAAGGAAATTAACTACACTTACAGAAACATAGGTAATAGATAATCCCATTTTACCAAAACCCAAAAGAAAAAGAAGGGTAAATTCACATACAATACCACTACCAACAACAAATCAAAAACAAACAAGAATAAGCACTCAATGATCCTTTATTTCCCTCAATATTAATGGTCTTAACTCTCCTATACAATGAAACAGGCTAACAGAGCAGATACAAAGATGGAATCCATCCTTCTGATGCATACAAAAAAACACACCTCAACTTCAAAGACAGACATTACCTCAGAGTAAAGGGTTGGGATAAAGTATTCAAATCAAATGGACCCAAGAAAAAAGCTGGGGTAGCTATACTAGTATATAACAAATTAGACTTCAAACTTAAAATCAATCAATATAGATGAAGAATGTCATTTCATATTCATTAAGGAAAAATCCGTCAGGAAGAAGTCTCAATTCCAAACATGTATGCCCCAAATAAAGGGCAAAAATGTTTGTAAAAGAAAAAATATTAAAACTCAAATCACAAATCACAAATAAGACCTCACACAGTTATAGTGGGAGACTTCAACACCCCACCCTCACCACTGGACAGGACCACCAGATAGAAACTTAACAAAGAGACAAATGAACTAACAGAAGTAATGATCCATTTGGGATTAACAGACATCTATAGAACATTCTATCCAAACAGAAAAGAATATACCTTCTTTTCATCATCACAGGAACCCTTCTCTAAAATCGAACACATACTCAGCAATATAGCAAAACTCAACAGGTAAAAAAAAAATTGGAATAACCCCCTGTGTCTTATCAGACCACCATGCTTTAAAGTTAGAACTCAAAAACAACACAAATTGCAGAAAACCTACCAACTCATGGAAATTGATAAACACACAATTTCACCATTCCTGGGTCAAGGAAGATATAAAGAAAGAAGTTAATGGCTATCTTGAATTCAAAGAAAATGAAGGCACACCATACCCAAATTTATGGGTTATTTGAAAGCAATACTAAGAGGAAAGTTCATAGCTCTAAGTGCTCACATGAAGAAACTAGAGAATAGTCACAGCAGAGAGTTGACATCACAGCTGAAAGCTCTAAAACAAATGGAAGCAAATTGACCCCGGGGAGTAGATGGCAGGAAATAATTGAAGAGATGGCAGAAATAAATAAAGTGGAAACAAAGAAAACAATTCAAAGAATCAATGGAACAAGGAGTTGGTTCTTCAAGAAAATCAACAAGATAGACAAAACTATATCAAAACTTACCAAATAGCAGAGAGGGAACATGTAAATTAACAAAATCAGAAATGAAAAGGGAAACATAACAATGGACACTGAAGAAATTCAGAGAATCTTCAGGTCATACTTTGAAAACCTGTTCTCTACAAAATTGGAAAATTTAAAGGAAATGGACAATTTTCTGGACATATGTCACTTACCAAAATTGAATCAAGAACAGATAAGCAACTTAAACAGACCTATAACCTCTAAGGAAATAGAAGCAGACACAAAAGTCTCCCAACCAATAAAAGCCCAGGGCCAGATGGCTTCAGTGCACAATTCTACCAGAAATTTAAAAAAGAGCTAATACTAATACTCCTCAAATTGTTCAACACAATAGAAGCAGAAGGTTCATTGCCAAACTCCTTTTACACGGGTACAATTACCTTGGTAAACAAACCACACAAGACACAACTAAGAAAGAGAACTACAGACCAATATCCCTCAGGAACATTGGTGGAAAAACACTCAATAAAAAACTGGCAAATCTAATACAAGAACACATCAGTAAAATCATCCACCATGACAAATTGGTTTCATCCCTGGGATGCAGGGTGGGTCCAACATTCGAAAATCTATCAATGTAATCCACCATATAAACCAACCAAAGAAGAAAAGCCACATGATCATCTCACTAGATGCTGAAAAAGCCTTTGACAAAATCCAACATCTCTTCATGAAAAAGTTCTTGCAGAAGACAGGAATAACAGGAACATATCTAAACAAGATAAAAGAAATATACACCTAACCAACAGCCAACATCAAATTAAATGGTGAGAAACTATTCCTCTAAGATCAGGAAAAAGACAAGGCTGTTCACTCTTTCCATATCTCTTCAATACTGTCCTTGAAGTTCTAGCTAGAACAATGAGACAACAAAAGGAGATCAAGGGTATACAATTCTGAAAGGAAGAAGTCAAGCATTCACTGTTTACAGATTATTGATAGTCTATATATAAGCTAACTGAAAAACTCTACCAGGGAAATCCTACAGCTGATAAACACCTTTAGCAAAGTGGCAGGATACAAGATTAACTCAAAAAAATCAGTAGCCCTACTATATATGGGTGATAAATATGCTGAAAAAAAAATCAGAAAAACATCCCCCTTTACAATTGCCACAAACAACATAAAATCCCTTGGGGTAACGCTAACCAAAAAAGTGAAAGACCTTCCTCATAAGAATTTTGAGTCTTTAAAGTAAGAAATTATAGAAGATACTAGAAAATGGAAGCATCTCCCATGTTCTTGGATAGTTAGGATCAACATAGTAAAAATGACAATCTTGCCAAAAGCAATCTACAGATACAATGCAATCCCCATCAAAATAACAGCACAATTCTTCACAGACCTTGCAAAAACAATTCTCAACATTATATGGAAAAGCAAAAGATCCAGGATAGCCAAACCAATCCTGTACAATATTAGAACTTCCAGAGGAATCACCATCCCTGATTTCAAGCTCTATTATAGAGCTGTAGTCCTGAAAACAGCTTGATATTGGCACAAAAATAGACAGGTAGACCAATGGAATCGAGTTGAAAACCCTGATATTAACCCACACACTTATGAATGCCTGATTTTTGACAAAGAAGTCAAAGCTATACAATGGAATAAACACAGCATCTTCAACAAATGGTGTTGGCATAACTGGATGCTGGAATATAGAAGACTAAAAATAGATCCATGACTATCGCCATGCACAAAACTTAAGTCCAACTGGATCAAAGGCCTCAACATAAACCCAGCCACACTGAACTTATTAGAATAGAAAGTAGGAAATACCCTTGAAAGAATTGGTACAGTAGACTGCTTCCTGTACATAACACCAGTAGCACAGACACTGATATCAACCATTAAAAAATGGGACCTCCTGAAACTGAGAAGCTTCTATAAGGCAAAGGACACAGTCAACAAGACAAAAAGACAGCCCACAGATTGGGAAAAGACATTCACCAACCCCACATCCATGATAGGGCTGATCTCCAAAATTTGCAAATAACTCAAGAAGCTAGTCTCCAAAACACCAAATAATCCATTTAATAAATGATGTACAGAACTAAATAGACAATTCTCAATAGAGGAATCTAAAATGGTTGAAAATCACCTAAGAAAGTGTTCAACATCCTTAGCCATCAGCAAAATGCAAATCAAAATAACTCTGAGATACCATCTTACACCTGTCAGAATGGCTAAAATCAAAACACCAATTAGAGTTTCTGCTGGAGAGGATGTGGAGAAAGGGTAACACTCCTCCACTGCTTGTGGAAGTGCCAACTCTTACAGCCACTTTGGAAATTAGTATGATGATTCCTGAGGAAAATGGGAGTCTACCACAAGATCCAGCAATTCCAGTCTTAGGCATAAACCCAAAAGAAGCACATTCATGCAAGAAGGACATCTGGTTCAATGGTGTTCATCACAGTATTATTTGTAATAGCCAGAACCTGGAAACAACCTACATGCCCCTCAACTGGAGAATGGATACAGAAAATGTGTTACATTTACACAATGGAGTACTACTCGGGGGAAGAAACGATGGAATCATGAAATTTGCAGACAAATGGATGGAAATAGAAGAATCCATTCTGAGCGAGGTAACCCAGTCACAGAAAGACAAACATGGCATATACTCACTCATATGTGGGTTTTTAACATAGAGTAAAGGATTACCGGTTAAGGATTATTACAATCCACACTGCCAGAGAAGCTAGTAAACAAGGAGGAGTAGGGAAAAGGGACAATATCTCCTGAGCAAATGTGAGCGTGGGGTGAGGGAAGAGGGGACTAGGAGAATTAGAAGGGGAGAAGAGGAGGAGTGAGGAAGACCATCAAGGGGCAGGGAGGTTGAGTTGGGGGTAGAACAGAAGAGAGCAAGATAAGAGATACAATAATAGAAGGAGACATGATAAATTTAAAGAGAAGTCCGCCACTAGGGAAATGTCTGGAGACCTACAAAGATGACACCAACTAACAATCTAAGCAACAGAGGAGAGGCTACCTTAAGTGCTGTCTCCTGATCCTGAGATTGATGACTAATCCATATGCCATCATATAGCATTCATCCATTAGCTGGTGGAAGTAGAAGCAGACATTCACAGATAAACCTTGAACTGAACAGAAATCCAGTTGCAGAGAAGGAGGACAGAGAAACATAGGGGTCCATTCCAGGCTGGTGAAACACACAGAAATAGCTGACTTGAACAAGGGAGAGCTCTTGGTCCCCAGACTGTTAGCTGGGAAACCAGGATGGGACTGATTCAGACCCTTGAATGTGGGTGTCAGTGATGAGACCTTGGGAATCTATGGGGTCCCTTGTAGTGGATCAGTACTTATCACTAGCATAGGAATGGATTCTAGGAGCCTATCTCACATGGAGGGATATTCCCTGAGCCTAGACACAAGAGGGTTAGCCTAGGCCCTATTCCAAATTATATGACAGACTTTGAAGACCCCCTATAGCAGGCCTCAACCTCCTTCGGGAGCAGAAAGGGTATGGGATAGGTAGGGTATTAGTTGGGGGGCTAGGGGGGAGGGGAGTGGGAGGCATCTGGGATTAGCATGTAAAATAATCTTTCTAATTAAAATTAAAAACAATTGGAAAAAACAAATACTATTTTAATACAGTATCTGTAGACATTATAATTAACATTAAGAAGACATGATACTTAGAAGCAACATTTGGCTTTGAATATAAACCTTGTATTAAAACAGGAAGAACAAGAGAGTTGTGGTTGGGAGCTTTAATGAGTGAAAGAATGCTGCATAAAACCCAATTGTGAAAACTATCAGAAATGATAATTCTTTGAAATTACAACATTTCAAACTCTGAGTAAAATATATGGGAAAAATTGCTTCAATTTTAAGACTTTTCTGTAAATGGAATTACTTCAAAATACTTTAAACTCACACAGCATAAAAATACATATTGTTAATCCTTTAAATATGTATCTATATAAATGTCTTTTCCTTTTGAGTTCAAGGTGCTAATATTGCTAATTAACTTTGATTTCTGTAACTGTGGCAGAATAGCCTCCACAAAAATCTTTTAAATGAAGGATACTTTCATTTTAATGAAAGAGGTTTCTGTGAAAATTGCTTTCCATATTGTCTTTTGAGCTTGAAGTGAAGTAGTTTATCATAATAGACTTGAATATATAGGCTACTTACAACCTAGTGTCTTTGAAACAAAGAAGAAGAGGAAAAGAAACTAAAAGAACAACAGAATAACAAGAAGAAGGATACCACTATACCGATAAGATAATATTACAGTAAAGATCTAATTTTCATATTACTCTAAAATCCAGACCAAATATTATGAGTGTTCTAGTACCATTTAACACAAGTGGCCTTTAGCCTAATAATCCACTACAATGTCTGTAGTTTCACTTTAGACTTTCAACCTGGAAAAGACATTGGGGATTATATTACTAACCATACAGGCCTTTTACCACATTATTTTGTATGCCAAATTTAAAAATATAATTTGGGAAAATCTCAGAAGTATTGAGAAATTGGAGATTCTTGAGACAGACTAATTATAATTTTGTTAAGTGGTTATCACTGGCCATTGGGATTTTGGAGGAATAAAAGTAGGAATATTAGAAATATCTCCATAAATTTTATGTGTTAAAGGTCTGGTTCCAAAGCAATTTTAAGATTGATCCCTAAGGATATTTTGCCAGTAAGTAATTAAAGCATTAAAAGAATAACAATTAAGATACTTTACTTGGATATAGTCAAAAATAGGAGAGGAGATGGCACATAGTTAAAACTCATCCTCAGAAACATACCCTGAAGGATGTTGCTGTCTCCAGCACATTCCCTCAACTCTTGATCACAGGGATATGAGCATCTATGTTCAATTACATCATCTTCCCCATGGCTTCCCACCACAGGCCAAGAGATGATAAACTGAGACCATGAGGGAAAAATAAATCTTCTTGTAGTAAGCTGGTTTATAGTTCTATGCATTTTATAAGAGCAATGGATATCAGACCTTCATGATTTCCAAGTGAAAGACATCTAAACCTACAAAGATAAAGAGATGAAATAATTATATCATTACCAAATATATATAAAAGTCAATATATATTAATATATGTATATTATAGGTTTTAGGACACATTTTAAAGATTATTATAAAGAATGCATTGAGGTAATATATTCTTGTATTTCTGTTATCTGATATTCAGTATATTATCTCAGTAGACATTAAATTCATAAAAGTTCCTCAAAGTTCTATTTGACTTCATATTCATTTAGACAACCAAAATCTTTGGAGGTGTTCTTTTTACCCAAGACCTCTTGTTTTGGAATTCAGACATTGCTTGTGCCCTTGATAAAGATTCTTATATAAGTCAAGATTTAAAATGGTTGATAAGAGTGTATCAGATTCAAATGTAATCTTTAAGTTTACTATTTAATATAAATAATATATTATGTGCAGTTTTGGAAAGCTTTAGTAGGTGGAATGTAGAGAAAGGAAGTGAGTTTAGGGTCTCATCCCTGGAAGAGGTATCTATCACTCTGGTATCATAATTTTTCTTATTTGTATTATGGGTTTACTATGTTACTCGTGATATACCCAACCATCTCAAAAACACAGAACAAATCAGTTTTACACTGTGCAACACAACTGTCTTCAAAATGTACAAACATTTGTTTCTTTGTAATTAGTTTAAATTTAGGACTGCAACAGTGAAAATTTAAATTTTCAAGTAATTTTGTTTTATAACTCATTATATGAATTTAATTCAGATATTAAAATGTTTCTTTTTATTGCAAATTTATTTATTTATATTTAATATTCATAAGTGTTTTACCTACATGCATGTATTATAGTCTGTGTGATGTCTGGTACTCTTGGGGATAAGGACAGGTATCAGGTGCCCAGATGGAGTTATACCTGGTCATCAGCCATCAAGTGGTTCCTGGGTTTTGAACTTGGGCTCTCTGCAAAAGCAAAACCTTCTCTTAACACTGACTGATGTCTCCTAACCCAATTTTTATTTTAAAATATTTATTTGTTTTTATTGGGTGCATGGACATGCATGCTTGTATTAATATGCATCATGGGTCTGCTATGCCTATTAAGTTTTAAAGAGGATTTTGATCCCTTATATTCTGTAATGACCCAACCTATTAAGTATACTAAGAAAGAAACTTATTTCCTCTGAAGAGTAGTGTATACTCTTGAACACTACATTGTCTTCCCACACTTCCTTAGACTATTTCTTTTTTTTTTCTTTTTGGAGGGGGGCAGGGGGACTAATGAAGAAATAACTTTATTGTCATCAACTTCTTAGAAGAGAAAGCAAAGACAGGGTGGGTGACTTAAAACTCAGTAAGGTTACTTTGGGGAGAAGGAGATCTGTGGCTTAAGCTGTAGACATGTAAAAGGTGAGCTGTCACTCTATAAGAGCAAGGAGCAAAGAAAAACTTAAAAACACTATCTTCATTTTGCAAGCCAGCTCAGGAATGAGTCACCGATTGCTTTACAGGCACAATCCAAATAGGAAACCATAAAGTAAGGCAAGAAGTTCTTAAACTCAAACACAGTGTAGTACTACTATCCTGGGTTTATTGAAGGTCTCAGATGGTAGCATGAATATTAGATGGATCTGGCCTTAGACTATTTCTCATAGTGCATTTGCATATAAAATGGCAACTGATAATTGGGAGAAAAAATTCTGATGAACTTAAACATACGAAAGAACATAACCACATCACCACAAATTGCCTGTCTTTTTCAACCAACTCAATAGCTCTTTTGTTTTTCACAACACAAGCATAAAGAATGTAAACACAGATATGCATAGTCAAATGATAGCATGAATATTATTTGAGACCACTGATATTTGTATTGTTGAAAAATGCCAATATATTTGGATACAAGATTAAAAGATGTAAGGCTGATAATTTCTCAGTTTTAGAAACTAAACTAACAATACTCAATTATAATGATAAATTTAATATCAGAAATTTTAGTGATTTAAACATTAGTAAAAATGTTTATGGAAAGATGAAATAGTAGCAATGGGTTAAAAAATACTTATAAACTACTATCCTGAGCTAAGTATGTGTCACAAAGACAGCACAAATAGGGTAAAGATTTAATCTCTCATTGTTCTTATGCCTTCTTTATTCTGGGAGAGCAGAGAAAATACTATGAAAACATTGGAGGAAGACATAACTACTATACTATTTTCTCTCTTTCAACCAGAGAAAAAGTAAACACTTCATGGCACACATTTCTTAACATAGTGACCCTGTGGTAGTCTTCCATCAGAGGTTACTTGGGTAAAGAGAATGCCGTCTAGGTATTGTTTACAAGGAAACTTCATAATCTTTTGAGTACAGTCTATTTGTGTTTAAAAGTGACAGTCAAATATCCAGAATGGTTAGCAGAAAGAAATAAAAAGCCTATGTTTATATTTTTCCTTTACAAAGAGCAAAATAGCAATTCCATCTATGCCTCCCACCACAGTGCTCCTAGGTGCTCTAATGTCATCAGGATAAAGATCACAATTCTTGATTCAAACCCTGTTTTTTAAAATAAACAAAACAATAATAATTTAAGCTGTAAATAATAACTCAGTACTCTGGTTATAATAAAATTCCACATTTTGTATTTTCACTATTATTTTTGTTTCCTCAAGGCTAAATTGGAATAAAGACATACTTTTGCACTAAATTGTTCCAATCAAACCATCTGTACTTTCTAAATTAAGAACAACCTACTAAGAGAAAGAATCCATCACTATAGATTGCTCCTAATTACTTTAGATTCCCATTGGAATTGTTCTAGATATTACTATAATGCCTAATTTCTTGGATGCTTTATAGCTACTTTCTGCTGTCTTAGATGTAAACTGATGAGTACAAATGATAAGATTATACTTTGATTAGTTATTTAAACATAGTCATATGATTGGGTGATGTAAATATTCTGAAACTAAATTTCATATGATCATGTGAAGGGATTAATATATTATGCAAAATCATCCTCTTCATCTTCTTTCTCTTTCCCACACACCTTCTTTCTCAACACATTTCCACTATATATCAGACTTTACAATGTTGACAATGTAAGAACTCAGTGAATGAGGATCTTGTATTTAGATTTGTATAATTAGCAATGAGAAAATGAGCATCCTTCAAAAGTCATCTACATGGTCATTGCAATCCTTATCAACATTCAATAAATTATCCAGAGAAATTAAAAGAATATTGAAATATCCACAAAAGTAAAAGTTGCCCTAAAATCACCACCCCAAAATAAAAGATAAAATTAAACCTGGAAGTTTTGCATCCTAGATAGATTTCAAGTTTTACCACAGGTCTATAATAACAAAAGAAGCATGACACTGGTTTAAGCAGAAACATTAAACAATAGAATATAAGTGAGAGTTCAAATGAAAACCCACTCCCATACTCCACCTCTAATTTCTGACAGAGGCCAAGAATACAAGAATGAGAGAAAGACAGTGTCTTCAATAAATGTCTTGGGTTGACATGGATAGCCACTGTAGAAGAAGGAGAATATACCCCCATTTTTTACTCTACACAAAGCTAAACTCCAAATAGATCCCAAACTTCAACACAAGACCTCATACCCAGAGTTTGAATGGGGGGGGATGTATAGAATGTTCCTACAGGAAAAGGGTTTCTGATCAGGTTACTAATAGCACAGACATTTAGATCAATACTTGATAAATAGGACCTCATAAGATTGAAAAGTTTTATATAACAAATGAGACACTCAACTGAAGAGGCATCCTACAGAATGAGAAATTATATATATATATATATATATATATATATATATATATATATGAGAATGCTTATCTACTGATAAATGAAGTGCAAATTGTGATGCAATTATGGAAATCAGTGTGGATGTACCTCCAAACAAAAATCAACTATAGAAACATTGTCCCTGGAGAAGGGGAAAGGGTCACGATACCCTGAGCAAATTGAGAACATGGGAAGAGGGGAGAGGGAGCTACAAGAATGAGAAGGGAAGAAGAGGAAGGATGCAGAGGTCATGAGGGAGCAGAAAGGTTGAGTCAGGTGAAGAATAGAAGAAAGGGTATGTGATAGGTAGGGTTTTCATTGGGGGTGGTAGGGAAGGAAGGGAGGGAGAAGGGAACTGGGATTGTCATGTAAATCAATCTTGTTTCTAATTCAAATAAAAAAAAGATAAAAAAGAAATAGACCTTTGATAAGTTTTTGCTGTATCGCTTTTGATGATAAATATAAATGCCTCATACCATGGGGATACTTTCTCATGACTTCTCATTGTTACTCTGTTCCAAGTAGCCAATAAATATAAACAGCCTAGATTTCCATCAACTGATGAATGGATACTAAAATATGCTGGTGGTATAATTGCAGAATCCAACAATAATCAGCTTTTAAGAAAACCAAAATTCACAGGTAAACGTGTGAATCTGGAAGCTATCATTACTGATGAGGTAATTCAGACTCAGAAAAACAAACAATAATGAATTCATTAATTTTAATTTTAGATTTGAATCTATAAACGTGCATTTGTCATTAGTAATGCTTGCAGAGGTCTGACCATTACTAAGTGATAGGGGATTCTAGCAAGGGTAAAAGGAAATAAGATAGTGAAACAGAGATGATTAATGAGGGTGGGGATAGGAAGGCAGGGTACAAAAGGGAGAATGAGAAATGTAACTAACATTAAAGTGCTTTTGAAAAAATTTAAAGAAACTCAATACTGAAGAAATGTGTGTGTGTGTGTGTGTGTGTGTGTGTGTGTGTGTGTGTGTGTGTGAGTGTTTCTCAGTGGACTTACACTATCAATAGTGTGAAAGTGCTTTTTTTGGTGTTCTATTATTTATTTATTTAGATTAGAAACAGTCTTATTTTACACAGCAATCCTAGTTCTCTCTCCTATTCTCCCATGCCCCCCACTGAACTCCCATCCCACCCTCTATCTACTCCCTAAGGAAGTTGAGGCCTTCCATGAGGGTTCATTATAGTCTGTCATGATTTTGGTG